TCTCTTCTAAATCTTCTATTTTTCAGCCCACAAAAAGCCAAATTAAAATCCATTATTCACGATGCAATTCTTAAATAATAATTAACAAAAAAGAAAAAAATCAAAACCGCTGAATATAACAATAAATCAATATTCACCCTGTGAAGAATCCACACAGAACTAAGCTTCAAGGCAGGAACAACGTTTATAAAGGCTTATTAATGCTTTGAATTCTCATTAGAGTGCTTAGATTCTCACTTCTAAGCAACATTCCCCATTTAGAAAGGCTTTTTCTGCCATAAAGCATCAATCTACAAGGTGCCCTTGTGGGATGAAGATGTATTTATTGTTTTGCGTTGCAAATTTTTTAATTTTTTGTGTGGATTTTTCAAAGAGGAGGTGGAGCATACCACTAATTATGGGAGTTGGTGGATAATGGCATGTTCCTCCATTTTTTTTACTTAGAGCACCCACCCACCTAGGTTGCTCCTTGAATATTATGCTTAGGGCCCCCTCCTGCCTCCAATGGGTGGGGTCATTAAGTCCCTCTATTTAGTAAGTAACTACTAACTGGCCACGGGTGGCTGCAGGTCTGTGGACAGCCATCTAGCTATGCCCCATTTTTTATGTAAAGTCTCCCACCCAATGCCCACCAGTGGAAGCATGGGTAGGGGGGATTATGTTTTACAGGCCCAAGCTGAATGTGGTCTTTCTAGCGACTGGGCAGCAATGGCTTCCTAATCGCTATTTTTATATAATTTTTAGATATGCCCCAACCTGCCCTTATCCAATGTGAAATTTCCTGAATGCCCCTACTCGCTATGCCGTGAGTATGAAATATCTGGTGCATGTCCTATACTATAATACTATACTCTTGACCACTTATTTCTTTAAACCACAACCACATTTACCTCTCTAAAACAATTACACAAAGAATAGTTTCAATAATGCAGATGTGATTTTATATATATATATATATCTCACACACATAAGACAGATCTAAGATATCACGTAGCACTTTACAGTGATATAGTGGGATACTTAATATCAAGTAATTGACTATTGATTTAATCCCTATTACGATTATGTAAAGGGCAGGAAAATGAAACAAAATATAGCAGTTACAACAACCATAAAATTATTTTACTAACAGATAAAATATATATATATATATATATATATATATATCAAAAATTATAAAGGTAGTCAGCACTCTAGGTCTTGTGAAAAAAAGAAGATATTCTTTATTGTCGATCCCAAAAGGTCAACATTTCAGTTCACATAGGAACTTTCATCAGGACATAGTCTATGTCCTGATGAAAGTTCCTATGCGAACTGAAACGTAAGCCCTTTTGGGATCTACAATACAGAATATCTTCTTTTTTTCACAAGACCTAGAGTGCTGACTACCTTTATCATTTTTGGTGTATGCAGTGCAGTTGAGCACCAGCATTAAGACTGGGAAGCTGGAGTGCTAAACCTACAAACTGTGTATATATATATATATATATATATATATATATTTTTTTTTTTTTTTTTATCTGTTGAATATCTAATTTCAAAACAGGAGGGGGGAAAAGCAGATAAGGATATAGGGAGATCACTATTTTGTGGCTTTGTACAGGAAATAAAGGCAACTTCACTGCTCAAGTGTTTTTATTCGGTCCCACGTTTTGCAAAGAAGCTGAGTAATTTCACCATAAACATAGTGTGTGATCAATGATGATTTACAATAAAACAATCATAGATATCTAATGGCAACACATATATACACAACTGCCTCTAAATGGCAACAGAACTAGCACAGGATTGCCTGCCCAGCACAGGGATTTAGGTATAACAATAAACAAAAAACAATGGACAGTTATATTAACATTCAACTTAACATTCTAAGCAGGGATAGACATGAACAGTTAATCAGGAGCCAGAGCTAAATTAATCCTGGTCTTGACAGAACAAAGAGTAGTTGTTCTCCTCAGTCCCATCTCATTGATGTATGTTATGCACTAAGCCACTTACATGGACAACAAGCAATATATTATCTCCTGCACCAGTCCACCATATTAACCTTTTACCATGTATATTGATCCTCAAGGACCCCAAAAGCATTCTCCTCTTCTTCTTAACAAAAAATAAATAAAAAATAAATATATATATATAGGAAAGGGGTTGCAGGGAAGCACCCTCCTCCGATACAAAAAAATAAATAGAAATAAATAAATAAATACAAATTAGATACATATATATATATATATATATATATATATATATATATATATATATATACACTGCTCAAAAAAATAAAGGGAACACAAAAATAACACATCCTAGATCTGTATGAATTAAATATTCTTCTGAAATACTTTGTTCTTTACATAGTTGAATGTGCTGACAATATAATCACACAAAAATAAAAAAACGGAAATCAAATTTTTCAAACCATGGAGGTGTGGATTTGGAGTCACACTCAAAATTAAAGTGGAAAAACACACTAGAGGCTGATCCAACTTTGATGTAATGTCCTTAAAACAAGTCAAAATGAGGCTCAGTAGTGTGTGTGGCCTCCACGTGCCTGTATGACCTCCCTACAATGCCTGTGCATGCTCCTGATGAGGTGGTGGATGGTCTCTTGAGGGATCTCCTCCCAGACCTGGATTAAAGCATCTGCCAACTCCTGGACAGTCTGTGGTGCAGCATATGCTCTCACAAGGTGTCTGAGGATCTCATCTCGGTACCTAATGGCAGTCAGGCTATCTTTGGCAAGCACATGGAGGGCTGTGCGGCCCCCAAAGAAATGCCACCCCACACCATTACTGACCCACTGCCAAACCGGTCATGCTGGAGGATGTTGCAGGCAGCAGAACGTTCTCCACGGCGTCTCCCGACTGTCACAACTGTCACATGTGCTCAGTGAGAACCTGCTTTCATCTGTGAAGCGCACAGGGTGTCAGTGGTGAATTTGCCAATCTTGGTGTTCTCTGGCAAATGCAAAAACGTCCTGCACGGTGTTGGGCTGTAAGCACAACCCCCACCTGTGGACGTCAGGCCCTCATACCACGCTCATGGAGTCTGTTTCTGACCGTTTGAGTAGACACATGCACATATGTGGCCTGCTGATGGTCATTTTGCAGGGCTCTGGCAGAGCTCCTCCTGTTCCTCCTTGCACAAAGGCAGAGGTAGCGGTCCTGCTGCTGGGTTGTTGACCTCCTACAGCCTCCTCCACGTCTCCTGATGTACTCCATGCTCTGGACACTATGCTGACAGACACAGCAAACCTTCTTGCCACAGCTCGCATTGATGTGGCATCCTGGATGAGCTGCACTACCTGAGCCACTTGTGTGGGTTGTAGACTCCGTCTCATGCTACCACTAGAGTGAAAGCACCACCAGCATTCAAAAGTGACCAAAACATCAGCCAGGAAGCATAGGAACTGAGAAGTGGTCTGTGGTCACCACCTGCAGAACCACTCATTTATTGGGGGGTGTCTTGCTAATTGTCTATAATTTTCACCTGTTGTCTATCCCATTTGCACAACAGCATGTGAAATTGATTGTCACTCAGTGTTGCTTCCTAAGTGGACAGTTTGATTTCACAGAAGTGTGATTGACTTGGAGTTACATTGTGTTGTTTAAGTGTTCCCTTTATTTTTTTGAGCCATGTATAAATATATATATATATATATATATATATATATATATATATATATTGCGCTGCTTCCATGGAACCCCTTTCCCATACATATCTACTCACGGCCAGAAAGAAGAGACTCTGGTTCGGGAAGTCCAAGCTGCCATACTCATATCAGACAAGCGCTAGAAATCACACTTTTTTTTATCTACCTATCTTTATATATTTAGAATGTAAATTAGATTAATCCATTCCAGACACCAAATTACAGCATTTTAACACAAGTTTAAGGTTTAATAATACCTTACATGCATAAAATCATACATAAAAACAATAAACACAATGTAAATGAAATGAAAATGTAACTTCATTTTACCTGTCAGCTCTTTTTGTTGACAGAATGGAGCTGTTTGCTGACAGAATAGAGCTCTGTTTGCTTTGTCTTGTGCTAGGAGGCCGATGCGTCATACCAACGAGGTACCAACAAGGTTAATGCCGCATGATTTTGTTCTAATATGGAGTTTTGTTTCGGAGCCGACACATTTTATGTTCGGGTAATGGAGCGTTCCAATTCTAAGATTCCACTGTATGTATATATATATATATATATATGTATATATCTACATATATATTTATTTGTGTTCGGGGCAACATTGATTATGATATGAAGTAAGATTGTTGTTAGCAAACCTGTTATAGGAAAAAGTCAGTTGAGGTGTGCCGAAACTTACGTATACTGTAGGCCAGTAAATAAAGTGGGCCTACACTAGAAGAGTATGGTGAATAAAGGGAGTGGAGGGTGGGGCAGCAGCTCGTTAAACCAATCACGTTAGGGTAGGGAAGGGGGGAGTCCCTTTTTTATTTTTAAGATCTTTATTTTTGCAGTGACGTAATGTGCTGTAATAAGTAACGTTGGGCCTGCGCAGGAACCCATTCACAGTGCATGGAAGCATGACATGTTATTACAGAAAGGAAGTTATGGTTAGGTCAAATGTACATGATGTCAAGTACAACGGTGTAGCCTTGGTACAGTACGTCAACATTTTTCAATTGTAACACAATCAGTAACAGTAGCCCTGTGTAAAGGCCCATTTACAGTGTATGTAAGCATGACATGTTATTACAGAAAGGAAGTATTGGTTAGGTCATATGTACATGTCTAGCATGTTGGCCTAGCAGTGGCACAATACATCAACATTTTTAGTTTTATATATAGACAAAAAATTATAAACATAAACAGTAACCGTAACTGTGTTGCACTCCAGCTGCGTTTTCCATTTCTTTGCGAAACCGTGTTACATGTAAGACTTCCCCTCAAGCCTAGTTCGCAGGTATATTACTTGTCTAGTGTGGTGATGGTACCCCTTCACCCCGCCATCCAAGGCCTCCACCTCCTCTCTTTCCTTGTGCCCTGAGCGCCCCTCCGAGTGCCATCCTCAGGCTTTCCTGATGGCTGTGCGCCTTGGCCTCAGATGGCCGCCCCCCAAGAGGGCCAACAAGGTTGGGACCCTTTGGGCTGTTACGGTGTTGTCACCTCAGGAGTGTGGGTGTGTTGGCGTTAAGGTGGCCGTCTGGCCTGAGTGGGCCGTGGTGGTTTTTCCTATGACCCCGATTCTGTTCCCTTAGCTTGCTAGTGTTGGGAGGGTCACAGGGAGATTTTCTCCCGTGTTGTTGCCAGGTTGGTTATGGCTGGGCAGGTGGCCCTCAAAGGAGCTTTTGGGTCTTTGGGGCCCAAATATAAAATTAGGGTAAATCGGCTCCCATGAGTAAGGATTCAATATTCACCCACCTTCTTTACTCTGTGGGGGGGGTGTGCCAGTGTACTTTTTGTGCTAGCTGTGCTGCTAGGTTAATAATGGTATGTGTGGTAGTCCCAAGCCCCCTCTGTCGTTAGGTCGGTACAGAAGGCTTCTAGCCAGTCTAGGCCATTTCTTCTGCCATATAAAGGTGTCGATCGCCCTTTGTAAGTTAGCTAGGTCCCCTTTAGTGACGTTTATAGGTAGCGCCTGGAACAAGAACAATAACCTAGGTAGCAGATTCATTTTTATGGAGTGCTGGCGTTCCTATCCATGAGATGGGCTTATCTGGATGGTTGCTGTGTTGAGTGTACACAGGTGGAAAGGCATAGCCACTGATTTAGTTAGGTTGACTTTGTATCCTGTTACTTCGCCATACCGGGGAGAGCAGGGAGAGTGGGCACCCCTGTTTAGTTCTGTTAGTCAGGGCAAACGGGGTCAGTGGAGCTCCCGCTACAAGTGTTTGCGCCCTCACATCTGCATACAATGCTGTGATGGCGGTTATGAATGGTTGTGGGAAATTCATCCTAGTGATCAGCTCAAATAAGAATGGCCACTTGACACGGTCGAATGCCTTCTTGGCATCCAATAATAGAACCAGAGAAGGCACCCGCATTCCACCATGTGCCACATCATATCCGCCTGCCGTGTGGTGTTCTTGTAAAGTTATCTGCCCAGGATGAAGCCAACTTGGTTAGGGTGTATAAGGCATTGAGCCTGGCAGCCAATATTTTCGCAAAAATTTTCAAATCAGAACTGATGAGGGAGATGGGTCTATAGTTTGAGGATAGTGTGTGGTCTCTGTTGGGTTTCGGCAGTAGGACTATGTTTGCTGTGGCCATGTCTCTATCCGGTGTGCCCCCTTGCATGAAGTGGTTATATAGTTTTTGTATGTGTGGGGTTAGCTCTGGCCTGAACTTCTTATCCTATGTTGTAACCATCAGGGCCTTGTGCCTTATTGCTTTTGAGGTCCGCAATGGCCATCTCGACTTCTTCTTTTGTAATTGGTGCACCCAGTTCCCCCCGCCTCCTCCCCACTCACTGTGAGTAATTTAAGGCCAGCCAGAAATGAGTTGATATGTTGCATGTATTCTACGTTGTGGTGGTCATTTTGTGGTGAGTGTTTGTAGAGTGCTGTACAGTATTTGTTAAATTCAGTCATTTATCGTCTGTGGTGTGTTAGGTCGTTTATAGTTTATGTGTGTATTTTACTGATGGGTTTGGTGCCAGGCCTAGGTCTGAGTGTTCTAGCCAATAAGGTGTGCATTCTGTTTGCTTTTTCGTAGAAATGGCGCCTCATCCACACCAGGGAGCTGGCTACCTCCTCTAGTGCTAAATCTTTGATATTATGTCTGAGTGCTGTGAGTTCTGCTAGTTTGTGTGGTGTTGGATTGTTTTTGTGCTGATGTTCTGCTTTACGTAAGGCCAATTGGTACTCCAGGAGGAGTTTGGACTTTTCTTGTTTTTTATGGGTGGCTATATTGATAAAGTGGCCTCTAAGGATCGTCTTATGGGTAGCCCATAGCGCTGTGGTGTTTATTTCTGGGGTGTTGTTCAGCGTGAAGTAGTCTATGGCCTTTTTAGTTAGGGTTGTCGTTTCGTCATCTTTGAGGAGGTTGGTGTTTAGTTTCCAGGTCAAGTTTGAGTTGTATTTCAGTTTGTCTAGTGTGAGTGTAATGTCAGCATGGTCCGACCACGTAATTGTATTTATACCCGTGTGTAGTGCCTTGTGCATTTCTGTATCGTTAAGAAAGAGGTTATCAATTCTGGAGTAGGTGCCGTGGGGATTTGAGTAAAACGTATAGTCTCGGGCGTCTGGGTGTTGTAGTCTGCAGGCTAAGAGTCCGGTGTGGGTCAGAACCAAATTCAGCAGTTTATCCTGTCCCCCTCTGCCCTGTGATCTTGGCATGACTGGTCGTGTGCTCCTGTTGACCGCTGGGTATGGCACTGCGTTAAAATCGCCACCCACCACTAGCACACTCCCTCTTGTGTGGGATGGGAGCATCTCTAGCGTTGCCCAGAAATTAACGTCTGGTTCATTAGGGGCATACACATTTATGACGCAGAGTTTAGTATTATGTAATGTGCCAGTGATTGCTATGTAACGGCCCTCTGGGTCTACTTGGCTGTGTGTGACCGCGAGCGGGCACCTTTTGTGAATTAGAATTGTGACCCCTGCTTTTTTTTCTGGCGCTTCATGTACTTCTGTATATGTCCTATCTCCTAGTTTGATGGGAGCTGTCTGTGGGAGATGTGTCTCTTATAACAGGGCGATGTCCACCCCCTTGGATTTCATGTCTCGCCCCATGAGCCTTCTCTTATTAGGGGTGTTAAGCCCTTTACGTTTAGTGATATTATTTTAAGGGCCATGTCTTTGGGGCCTGGGGTGTGCTATGGTCACCATTGTTAGTGTGTTGGCTGAGTTTGCGGAGGGGGCGGGTCTTGAACTTCATCTGTTCCCCAACCTCCGGCATCACATTGAGTATTAGCGCACTTAAAACAACCACCTCCTTACGGGGAAGTGGGGGGCGGAGCGAGATGAAGCGGCAGATGTAGCTGTGTCCTCGTGGAGTGCAGCTGAGGGGTGATCAAGGGATCCCAGGAAGCATGATGAGGTAGAGAGTGCGACCTGATATCATTGGAGTACTGCTGGACCTATCCTGTTGAGTTTCAAGTGGCGGTGGGAGAAGACCCGATGGAACGCTGAGAGGCAGTAAAGCAGCAAAATTAATGCCAGAGGGAGAGACAAGCTAGCTACCTATGGTGTGGAGAGCTGGGGGAGTATAGTCCTGGAGTGCATCTGAATAAGTCCCTACTGATATATTAACTCTATAATATAAAAGGAGTCTGTAAAATCAATTGTTAATTGGTTTAGGAAGAACAGAGGACCGCACAGAGATTAATAGCTAGGGGGTACAAAAACAAAAAAACCCAAGTAAATTTCATTGTATTTAACACAGCCTTTGCTTATCAGACAGTCTGCAACCAGTTAGGAAGCAAGTCATATAGATCCTTGAGATTTGGAGAAGGGAGAAAAAAGGAGAGAAGGAAAAACTATCTGATTGCACATTGAGTATTAGCACGAGCAACAGTAGCAACACAGAAATTTAACACATTATTAAAACAATATAATACAAGCGTGTCTGGTCTTATATAGTGCCAGAACAAATTGGGGGTGGGTGCCTCCCCACAGGGTGCACAAAGAGTACCCCCGTGTAAGGATGGCAGTTCCCTGTACGAATCCACTGTGCGTTTGTATGCATTCCATACAACTTGCGATAACCCGTAAGTAGTGTTACCCCTCTTCTAGGTGGTGGTTTAGGTGCTTCCCGTATGTAGGGAGTTGTGCTGCGTAGTGACCTATTTACAGTCCATAGCATGCTGTGGTTCGTTGGCCATACCATTACAGCTTAGCCAAGTACAAGCCTTTAGGGAGTGGATACCCTATCATGAATGTGCTTTGCAGGTGTCCCCCCAGCAAGTTTGCCGCCAGGGCTGGCCTTAGGGGTGTTTAGGGGCCTCAGGGCGCCATGGGAGCAGGGGGCGCCATGGGAGCAGGGGGTGCCATGCGGCTGACACAGCTCACACATGGCCGGCCGGCCGGGATTATAAAAAGAACAAACAAAAAAAGCATATATATATATATATATATATATAACATCTATTAAAGCATATAACATTTATTAATATAATCTTCATACATAAGAGATTTTTTTATACATACATAAGGATTTAGATTTAAAAAAATTTTTTTTAATAACTTTTTCAAAACAAAGAGAAGAAATATTATATAATATAATATATAATGCACAAAAGTTATGAAGTCAACCCATTCCAGATGAAAAGATGAGATATGGAATAATCCAATGAAATAATGAATTGTGGTTGTACAAATATAATTTTGTATATTGTTTATTAATTGTGTATATTGTTTTGATTTTTTTATTGATTTTATATATTCTTGTACAAGTGGTTTCTGTATATACATATTCTTATACCCACCCTTTCTCTCCACATTTCTACGCTTCCTATACGAGTTTTACATATATTTGGAGGTTGAATCATTTAATGACTGCAAAGTGGAACACAAATTACACGCAACCCCCGATACCGGAAGTGCGGGATGGACATAATGGAACGCATACGTGGAACGCAAGACATAATCACGTAATAACACGAGGAAGCCGCAAACCCGCAAAATGAGGAGAAGTTTCAGAACACCTAAACGGAACATAAGGAGCCAATCGGAGGAGACCCTTAACGAAGAAAGAACATATTTAAGGACTTATGGGGGGGAGGAGGGGTTTGTATATTTGTTATTTACTATCGTTTGATTGTCCCTGAGGAAGTCCCTTAACGGGATGAAAAGCATAGGACAACCTTTTTTGTATGCTGATACCTGTTAACTTCCATGTGAGTGAATAAATTATATTTATACTGTTGATTTGTATTGCCTGCTAACTGGATTCTCTATCATTTTAATATATCACCTGGAGGGAGAAATCTTCCTGATCCCTAGACTGAGCTGCATCAATGCTAATACTGAAGGCACATATACTTCTGACTATTGTGAGTGGCCATTTGTCACATATCTAAAAATTGTACACAAACAGTTTTGCACTATGTTGTGTTATTTCTTCCCTTAATAGGATTCACCGAATATATATATATATATATATGTATACTTTTCTGGAAGTGACAGTTTCTTCTTCCCTCATCTCAGTAAAAATTATTGAAGGACTAATCCAGGTAAACAAATTAACATAAGTAAAAGAAAAAAGCAACAACTACTTACCTTTGCTGTTGTGGGTAGCGTTAAAGCATCAAACAAGATGCATTGATGTACCATCTATACAGAAATGCAGTAAGATTACGTGTTTTCACGCATTTCCTACAAATGAATTAGCAAAATCAATGATGGCTTTATCTGATTAAAGGACCACTCTAGGCACCCAGACCACTTCAGCTTAATGAAGTGGTCTGGGTGCCAGGTCCAGCTAGGGTTAACCCATTTTTTTTTTTTTTTATAAACATAGCAGTTTCAGAGAAACTGCTATGTTTATAAATGGGTTAATCCAGCCCTCAAAGCCTTTTGTGGCTGTCTCATTGACAGCCGCTAGAGGCGTTTGCGTGATTCTCACTGTGAAAATCACAGTGAGAACACGCAAGCATCCATAGGAAGGCATTGTAAATGCTTTCCTATGAGACCGGCTGAATGCGCGCGCAGCTCTTGCCGCGCATGGGCATTCAGCAGAATGGGAGGAGAGGAGGAGTATCGGAGGAGAAGGGCTCCCCGCCCAGCGCTGGAGAAAGAGGTAAGTTTTAACCCCTTTCCTCTCCCCAGAGCCTGGCGGGAGGGGTCCCTGAGGGTGGGGGCACCCTCAGGGCACTATAGTGCCAGGAAAACGAGTATGTTTTCCTGGCACTATAGTGGTCCTTTAATCTCATTAATGACATGTATGTACTGCTTTAGAGCAGGGGAGGTTGAAACCTGAAAACATGCTTACTTTATTCCACATAATTAACCTAACCACCTGAAACTTAATTGGCAAGGACATACCCCCGGCTAGCTGCGAAGAAACAACCCCATGGGGCCGGTGGGAGGGAAGCTGTTTGCTGGCCCGAATCCCAAGTGGCACTGAGGTAAGACCACCCCCCACTAAACTCACACACCACATAATCCCACCAAAACATTCATACACAACCAATCACACGCATCTATCCCCACACTCATACATGTGCCCTTGTCTGTTTAGCTGTGCTTTCTCCCCAGGGCCTGTTCTTCTGCAGCAGAGGGGCTGTGGAAGGGGCAAAAGAGATAGACCAGGGCTTGGGAGAGAGACACCTAGAGGGGCTGGGAGGACACAGAGAGACACAGAGGGGTTGGGGAAGGGGCAAAAAAGAGACATAGAGGCTTTAACTAAACCCATTTGATTTTAGCCATGTCGACTAAACTCTACTGGAGATTTAATCCAAAAAAAAATAAAACAATTCTGATGACTAAAATACGACTAAAACTAAAATGATTATTTAGTCAAAAGACTATGACTAAAACTGAATTCAAATTTGCCACCAAAATTAACACTGCAGCAGTGTGTCCAAATGTTATGCTACAAGGGGTTTTAGAATTGGAACTCAACTGCAGCTTGTAGAACTCCTTAATTACAATAGCAAGAGAGCGGAGAATTATCAAGGATACTGTAGCTTTAAAGCAAAGTGGTTGTTGCAGGCAGTTAGTGAAGAAAGCGAAGACTTAATGAATGCAATAATATTTTAGTAACTGAGGATTATAACATGTAAGTAACAATGCATTAGGAAGTAACTGCAGGTTATATCAAGCAAGAAACAGTTCATTAGTAATTAAATCTTCTCCCCTAGACCGACACCCTGGGGTCCTCTAAGGGCCTCAACATGGCACCCTGCCACACAGACCTCAACATCACCACAATAAACGCCAGGGGGCTCAATAGACCCGAGAAACGCACGAGCGCACTGAGAGACTTCCACAAATCCAGAATGGACGTGGTCTTTATTCAGGAAACACACTTCAAAGAAGGGCTCCGGCCCAAACTGACTAACCACAGATACACCAAGGGGTACTATAGCGACTACAAGGAAAACAAATCGAGAGGGGTCGCCATACTGATCCATAAACGGGTACCATTCCATGAAACAGAGACTAAGTCAGACCCAGACGGAAGATACTTGTTCTTGAAGGGCACCATAGCCGAAACCACATATACGTTTGCCAACATATACGCCCCCAATCAAAGGCACTACAGGTTCCTCCACCGCACCATGCGTACATTGCAAACTTTCACAGAGGGCATACTGATTTTGGGAGGGGACTTCAACCTGACAATGGACCCTAAATGGGATTCATCCTCCGGGTCATCCAGGGTCCCGACGCAACACCTAACCCACATAAAAGCCCTACTAAAACGCTCGCAGCTCATAGACTGCTGGAGAGCACACCACCCAGACGAAAGGGACTATACGTTCCTGTCCCAACCACATAACACATATTCACGACTAGACTATTTCTTTACGACACACCATCACCTAGCCCTGGTGAAGACAACGGAGGTGGGAACGGCGACCTGGTCTGACCACGCACCGGTGACTCTCACTCTCTCCTCCCCAGTATATAGGCCGAGGGCGACAAAATGGAGACTGAATGACTACCTGCTGTCCCTGCCGGACGTCCGGACAGAGACGGATGAGATCCTGAAGGTTTACTTCACGACTAACACCCTGGACCAAACGTCGCCCACATACATCTGGGAGGCACATAAATGCGTGATTAGGGGCCACTTTATACGCAAGGGGTCGAGGCTCAAGAGACAAAGAGAAGCCCGTATCAAGTCACTAATACATGACATACAGACAACAGATGACAGTAACAAAAGGGACAACCTCCCCATACACCAGGCTAGGCTTCTCGAGCTGAGAAGGGAACTGTCCACACTCCTGAACGCCAGCCACCATAGAGAAGCCGCCAGACAAAAAGCATTTTTTGAGGCGCATAGCAACAAGAGTGGTACACTGTTAGCACGAATGCTGGCCAAACGTAGACAGCTGACATATATAGACAGAATTAAGGACAGGAAGGGAATAACGCACCGCCTCCCCACTGATATACACAGGATCATACGCTCCTACTACATGGACCTCTACTCCCTACCGAACCCACGACGCACACGCTTGAGCCAGCCTCGCGGCCCGGATAACAGACTTCCTACACACTAACACACACACGAAAATGGAACAAGAAATAGCAGACGCGTTGGACGAACCCATCGCTATAGAAGAAATTGCGATGGCAGTCAAGGCCTCCAAACTGGGCAAAAGCCCGGGCCCCGACGGCCTCCCACTACGCTACTATAAAAGCTTCGCGGGGACCCTATACGCACCAATGCTGTCCTCTTTCAACGCGATCCGGGAGGGGCACCACCTGCCCCTGCAGTCCCTACGGGCGCACGTCACGCTCATCCCAAAAGAAGGGAAGGATGGCGATTACTGTAACAATTATAGACCTATTTCCCTCATAAATAGCGACACGAAGCTCTTAGCGAAAATCCTGGCGACCCGCCTGCAGCCACACGTGCCCACCCTGGTACACCCGGACCAGGTGGGATTCGTGATGGGACGGGAAGCCAGGGACAACACGATTCGAGCTCTGTCAATAGCCCACGGGGGGGCGGGGGGAGGTCGGGGGCCTTCTCCTGCTATCCACGGACACGGAGAAGGCCTTCGACAGGATTGGGTGGACTTACCTATTCCAGACCCTCACGCACCTCGGCATAGGGGCATACATGCGAGGCTGGATTGAGGCACTGTATAGGCAACCCAAAGCCCAGATACTAGTGAATGGACTTCCCACAGAAGACTTCACGATACAAAATGGCACCAGGCAGGGATGCCCCCTGTCGCCAATCCTTTTTGTCCTAGCATTAGAGCCATTCCTACAAGCGATCAGAACGAACCAGGACATCACGGGGATAACTAAGGGCACCATACACCACAAGGTTGCGGCTTACGCCAACGACCTTCTCTTCTTTGTCTCCAGACCTGAACTCTCACTCCCCAATATTATTAAAGCCTTCCGTGACTACGGGGAAATTTCAAATATGAAAATCAACTTTGCCAAATCATACATCCTTAACATATCCATACCTCACCAACGGGAAACACCCCTCCGCCAGAGCTTCTCATTCCAATGGGCAGACTCTAAAATTAGGTATCTGGGCATTTGGCTCACGCGAAACAACACGGACCTTTTTAAGGAAAACTTTGCCCAGATGCTGACCACACTCAAGAGAGATGCCAGGGAATGGTCATACCCCCACATCTCCTGGTTCGGCCGGGTCCAAGTTATTAAAATGAACTTCCTACCACGGCTACTATACCTGATGCAGACAATACCCTTACGGATCCCTAGGACATACTTTACAACCTTACACAGGACCATGAGAGAATACGTATGGAAAGGGAAGAAACCTAGGCTAAAATTCCCACAACTCACACAACCAAGGGATAAGGGAGGCATGGCACTGCCAGACTTCCACTTATACTACATAGCGTGCCATCTCCTTAGAATAGTAGAATGGTCGAAACTTAACGTCCACAAACAATGGAAGTCAGTAGAGGAGGCAGACCTGCAGATTCCCATAACACTAGCACCATGGCTACCTAGAGGGAGGCGAGACAAGACACCCACATACGTGAGGAATACCCTGCAAGTGTGGCACAGTATAGCAGACAGAGCTGGCCTGACCCCATACCCATCACCCCTACTTCCCTTGACACATAATGCAGAGTTCCCACCGGGACTCGACCCACTAGTCCTTAGGAGCATTCTCCCAGACCAGCTACCTAGGCTCCACCACATTTACACGACATCAGGCCGGAAGTCCCTCTCATACCTCACGGGAGACCGGCCCCTGACCTTCATACAGACGTTCACATACGCGCAACTGACAAGCTACCTTCAGACCCTACCCCAGGGTGAGGCCCTACGGCGCACCCCCACGGAATTCGAGCAACTATGCCTCGACCCAGAACCACTCCCACACGGGATATCCAAACTATACAGCCTACTACAAATACAGATCCCAGTGGAAACACCTAGGTTTAAGGGAAAATGGGAAAGGGCCCTGAACCGAAAATTTAGCGATGGGGAATGGGACAAAATCTGCACACTGACACACCACTGCGCGGCCTTCAGCAGACACCAGGAGACTGCATATAAATTGCTCACGCACTGGTAATCGCACCCCGGACGTCCTACACAACATACACCCAGACCACCCCGCACACTGCTGGCGATGCGGGACAGGAACGGGGACACACATACACATCTGGTGGTCCTGCGAGAAGATGCAACCCTTCTGGCGGGGGATACACAAACTCATACAGAAATTCTCAGACCACCCTCCACCCTTTGAACCGGCAGCAATGCTCCTACACCATACTACGGGGCCTAGCAATATCTACAAACGATCTATGACCATAAGAATACTAAATATTGCCAAACAACTCATCCCCCTACAGTGGAGGGACACTGAGCCCCCTACCCTTAGGGAATGGTTTGCGAAAATGGAGGACCTCAGGGTGACGGAAGACTTACACTTGACGGCTACAGATAGGGCACAGCGATACCTAGACATTTGGACGCACTGGATTCTGACAACATCAGGAGATAACTTCCTGGACACACTGGGGGAAGACTGACTGAACCTGAGACCCCAAACCACTGCATGGACAGATTACTAACACCTGCGAGACTCACATATGGAAGCCTTGCTTGCCATCCGGACCCCGCCAGAGGGCCTCCGTGGGGATAACCCCCCCCCTTTTCTTCCCCACCTACCCCACCCGTCACCGACGGACATCGGACTGACTGATAGGTGAAGCCACAATGGAACCTTCGCTCACCCTTACATCGAACGCACCGAAGACTGACAAAAATACAGAAATACACGGACATACATAGAGCCCTGTAGACAGGCATAACGGGACCTGCAGGCCCCAGACGATACGTGACACACTGACCGCTAGAGACCCGAGGGTCTCCCACAACGGGCACTTGGACGAAGTAGGGGCCAGAGAGCCCGCACATAAGTCTTACTCTCAGCAGGACATATCAGCACTGGTAACAGCACTGCATACGATATAATTGGGCAATATAACTTTTACACACATAATTGTACCTTGCACTCTGTAATGCCTTGGACATACATAATCTGGCAAAGTATTTGCATATCTATTGTTCATTGGTGTACACTTACCTTGCGAAATCAGCCTCTGCGCAGGCATCTTCATGCTTTTACATCGCAATGTTTTGTGTTTAACATTGTTATGCCATCAAAATAAAAACACTTCAATTTGAAAAAGAAAAAAGTAATTAAATCTTCAGAGGTAGAAGTGAATAGTATACTTAAGATTGCTGGGAGTTGTCCTCCATGGGAATAGCATGCAAATAACAATTAATTAGGAAGTAACTGAAGATTATAGCAAGCAAGAAACAGTTCATTAGTAAGTAAGTCTTCAGAGATTAGAGTAATTAGTATACTTAAGATTGATGGGAGTTGTCCTCCATGGGAATGTATAGCTTGAATCCAAGGGATGAATGATATACACAGTCCGGTTTTCAGGAGTTTCCAATACAATACGTGGTCAGAGGTACAGAGAAGGCAAAGTCCTTAATAATAGTCAAAGGTTTGTTAACTTTGTGAACGAAGAGCTTAGCCGGCGTTTGAATGCGGAAGTAGGTCCGAGAATCACCAAGCGGTTTGAATCTGGCGCGGTCTCTCTATATAGCGTAAGAGAGCCACGTCAGAAAGGGGGCGGGGCCGGCTCCGCATACCGGAAACGCTGGAACAGATACGGCCTGACACCAAACACTACAGTAATATTGTGTTGAAGTATGTAGCTGAGCTGTCAGCTTCTATGTGTCCATTCTTTTCTTAATTCATTTTTTAACTTTGACATAGGAGTAGATGAGATAATTTAAAATAACTGGCAAGTGCACATTGTACCATTAGATTAAATCATTCAGTCAACTTGTCTTCATAGCTTTTGAGGCTCTCAATAAATGAGAAACATGTTGGTGGGATGGCTTTTTCCAGAACCAGAAGCTATCTGT